AAGGAATAGAAGTACGGTATTGTACATTTCTCACATTTAGCCTGTCGAATCAAGACATATTGCACATACTGAATATGTACAGCACATTATTACCTTACGTGTGGAAAATGTACCGAGGATACCAACCACCCATTGTCGGCAAAAAAGATATATAGGTTGGCAGAAAACGACATGTTGAAATATTGAAATTACTGTAGTTTCCCCTTATCGATCGAATTAATAATATACATCAAACCAGTTTGAAAGCAAAAGTCGATGATACCCTATATGGTGAACTCTCTATTCAAGATGCCCTCGGGAATGGGGATAGAGGGTTATCATTTGATTAATTGCACGTAATTTATTTATTGTCGTTTGTGTCATTACTGCATTACGTTCATTGATTTTAAACTAATGCAATTATCTATGTTTGAATTTGGTAAATAATCTCCAAACTGCTTGCAACACTTACAATCGGTAATTCAATACTAAATGACGAACTGCTCTTATTAACAAAGTCATTCGTTTTAATGTTTCTCTGAAATCACGAACAATACCTTATCCATAATAAGACAAAAGCCTGCATCACTATTTAGTTTTCAAGTTGTTGACAAGACTATCAAAATGTAGCACTTATCATTATACGTCTTTGTATGGACCTGTGCTTATATGAAGGGTAAATTCTTATAGTGGAGAAGCGAAAAAACTGTGCAATGCAGAATATGACACGGCGTGCATGTATGGAGGGTGAGCTTATATGGAGGGTGCTTGAATAGAGGGTTTTACTGGGGCAAATCATAGTCCAAAAAGAAATCTTCTTTTTACAATCACATACACAATAAACCTGGATAGGTATGGAGTAGTTCCATTCTATATTCATATCCCTTGGAGTCAATAATCACGGGAGAGCGATTGACTATTTAGGCGTAGTCTTGCCTTATTAAGGTCATTTGGAAATGAGCACACATCATCTGGGAAGCTTCACCGTCCAAGCTCGAATGTAGCTACGCATTTTAGTCAGGAACGATTAGCATCAAACTTATTACCAGTTCATAAACTTTAGATTAGTTGGTTCTCAATATTAACTTTTTAATAAATAATGTACTTTATTACTATATCTTACATATACCCGGCAAAGGCAGCTAAAAGTAAACGTGCACGATTTTATTTCAGAATCCTGTTCCGATGTTGACATATACGGAAGTAAACCCTTGAATAAAAATCGTATAAACTGTAAATAACCCGCGAAATTCAGAGTGTTTGAGTCACTAAATCATAAGCAGTGGACGATGTAAATATTGCAGATTGACTTTAACACGTAACCAATTTGCCGTCGCCATACCTGCAACTGAATCAAAATCATAACCGTTTCTTGGTTTGGGCAAATCTCCAGTAAGAGTTTACTCGAGACGTTTACATTATTGTGATATATGATATTCCATACGTTGCTGTTAAAAAAATCACCCTCTTCCACCTCTCTGAAAAACTTGTAAGTCTCATCCAAATCCATACGCTTATCAGGATCAGCATCACAACACCGCTCGGCAAGTTTCTTGTATTCCTCTGGTGGTCACCAGTGGCAATTAAATACAAAGAGAATATATGTCTGATTTCTGTGTATATGAAAGACTTTCGGTTCAATAAAGGGTAAAACGCCTCGAATGGTTGAATTTGACTGACGTGAATTCACTGACCAGATGTGAATATCAATCAGATATAATGCAATGTCATTCAAACACACCAATTTCATCTTCCATGTCAATGTGTTAATGTTTTGATCCAAATAAGACAAAAGACTACCATTGTTAGCATATTGCATAACAATCATGTACTCTGTGTGTATCCACAAATTGAAAGAATAACGCGGACACTTGGCATGATTTCTGACTATTAAATAAAATGAATATAGCGTCAAATTAAATATTACGTTAATTAATACTACCAATTGTTGCCCTCGAATTCCGGCGTTTTATCAAAAACTCTTAAACCGTTTGAGTACAACAGTTTCTTCCGAAATACCATTCTGAATACTTTTTATATTTGGCAGTATAAACTGTTCCAAAGTCGCATACTGGATGTACTTTACACGTTCATTATTCTGTCCAATAGTGCATGTTCATGTACACATTCACATTCATCAATGGACAGCTGTCCAAACAGCGTCGCTGGCTACGGGCCCAGCCTCGCGATCGGGCGTGTCGTGGTAGAACACCAAATAATATTTGGCTCCTGAGTAATCCAATTATCCAAATATTATCCGGTGTTAACATGTCGGGTATTCCTTGGTTAGCTATTTGAGTAACGGAAATGATACATAATAATAAGTCAATAATTATTTAAACTATTTAATAAACATGATGCATAAGTAAACAATGTACCAAGTTGATCATCGGTAATTGGTAGATACAAGTTAAAGTATACACCAACCAATATTTCCCAATCGTTAACAAATAGGCATGATTTGGTGAATTTGTTTGTAATTGAGATTTCTTAATAAACTCATCGAGTTGCTTATTGTTGCTAGTCCATCCATTGGAGTATTCCACATGCGGATAACAATGGTAAAAAGATAGATGTAATACTCGTTTCCATTAGATATTAAAGCCATGTGGAATATCTTTTGAAGTCATTGTCATCCTTACTGTACTGAAGTGAGTATATTCTGTCACAAGTGTTGGTGTACATTCTTCGCTGTTTCCAAGGAGCACCAGTAGAGCATTCTCAACGCTTATTGTGTTATATCACACACGGATCTCAGTTTATAACAACAAAATCGCATTATACTGTTATCGAAGTATACAAGATGTTTATATCATTGGTGCTTCATAATGGACGGGTTTGACATCCGAAACGCTAAGGCGGTATGAGTAGAATAGTTTATGTGATCGCTTGTCATACATGATTCAAAACCATCATGTTTATTAGGCGTTGCAAGAGACTCTCTTTACTAATAATACGGAACGTCTACTTTAAATTATCGCGTGAGGTAAACCTATCGATGTGCAGCACGTATGGTGCAAATCATCTAAAGCTTGAAATAAATTATCCAACTTTCAAAACCCCAAGGCTTTTGTATTAGAGGTATAAAGAAAAACTAATCCGTAAGAATGATACAACAGATGATGCAGAACAAAAGTTACGGTTTAGATTTAGGGACAAGCAAGTTCGCTATTGTTGCAAATTTATTAGGGATGCGATACAGAAGCAAGCACTAGCGGAGATGGGATTGGGTGACGATTTATTGTGAAAAACTTTGAGGTAAGTGATTTGGGGAAGTAATGTTGATTCAGAAACAGACTTTCAAAGGATGATGTTTGGTTGAAGTGGAGACCAGATGCCAATTTCGAAATTATCGTAATTACACATGGAGTGGATTACAAGAAACAGTTCCTCGCGCTCTCGATTCTGTTAATTTCGTAGATTCGCGCGATATATGGATTTGTACAGACAGGTAAATCAGCAGAATATGCTGCTAAAAAATATATCTCGTACAGAAGAAGCATGGGATGAATACAAACAATTAATTCGATCAACTTTCTTAAACAGAAGATTCAAAGAAACGCGCACTTATATAAATACCGGTAAGTATGTGCAACATTAATGTCGAATTTGAAGCGTTATAATAAAGCATTTATAAAACTATTCTGCAAAAAGTAAGTATTTTCGAACATTATGTTCGGGCGTTATCACATGGTAACGCTCTCTCCCCACCCCAATCTTCCATATAGTCCAGTTGTGATTTTTCTTATTCTTTCGAACTAAAGGGAAAAAGTTTCAATAGTGTTGAAAAATCTGTTCAAACAGTTGTTGACACCATCCAACACAAAAGCTGACTAAAACTTTTCAGCACCCCCCATGTACAAACCATCCGCCTACAATACTAATTGCGTCGAGGCTTACAGTCGCTGTATGTACAAAGTTTATACACATAGGAAACTGAATAAGGAACCCGATATTCGTACCTTGTTCAGGATAAACCGTTTCTCCGAAATTGCCAAACGATAAAAAGCCCCACACCTAATTGCATCCATATCATTACGGATTTGAATTAGTTGACTTTGGCTTTAGTCAAGCATCGGTAGGTTAGTAATCACGCCTGGTTAGATATACTAAAACCAAAGAATTACGAAAGATGTTCAATTACGCCAAAGTCATTAGTAATACGGGTCAAGTAAACTTGAATTAGCAAGCCCCGTGCTGAAATAGGGAGGGTTGGATAAAGTTCCGTTTTTACCAGTCCATTTGGGAAAAATAAACTCTACTTTCCCCATATTCAAGTAAGCTTGCAGCTATTTGTCATACATAGTATGCTAGCAGTTTACGTATTCAGTGCCTTACAAAGCAAACCCCCCCCAAGCTATCAATTGTTGGGGGTGTACCAGGGGAATTGTGTACTAGCACGACCGACGGTTTATCTAACCTTCCTTATCTTATCACATATCTGACTATTCGTATCATTAAAATGTACAAGCTGCGAAGAAAACTTGTGGTTGTTTATATCATCTATGATATTGTACGTATATTGTTCTTTAATTTACAAAAGAAAAGATTAAGTTGATGATATAAATATGAAGCAAGTAATAGGTGAATGTAAAAACCCAACAATAACAACCCCAGCAATAAAATAGTAAAAAATAGTGAGAGAATATAATAACAATTGAAAACTACAGTAGTGTGTATAATAATAGTAATAGATATCGTAATAATGTCAATGGTAATAGTAAATACGATGATAGGCAATGATTGTTATTGTCGTAACTTATTACACAAACAATCAATTCGTTTTACATTCAAACCTAATCTGTTGTAATATACTTTTGAAAAACTGTACAAGGTATTAATACCTTTGATGCAAGATGAATATCGATACAATGTTACCATGATATATCAGCTAATAAACAAATAAATACACAAGAATAAATTATGGTAGCCAAAGTTTGCTACCCAATCTAAAAATGTGCCAATATCCTTTACTTACCTCCCTCTCCCTCTCCCTCTCCCTCTACCTCCCCCACCTCCCTTTACCATCCCTCATTCCCTCCTTCCTCATGACAATTTCCACCCTGTGACGGTACAATATCAACGTTATCTCCAATCCGCGATTGTCCTGTTGAATGAGAAAACGTTTCTGGGTAATTCTGAGCATATGGTGGGTGGTAGATGGAAGACGAGGATGTATGAATAGTTCCCAGGGGTGACATAAAGTCGCTAATATAAGGCTCCATATTTGGTGATTGCATTAACGTTGTGTTTGGGGAAGACTCTGACTGTATGCTAGGTGCTTCGGTGGCATTGTACGCCATCTGCTTGAACACACCTACACCGCTCGGATGGAGAGCGCTGTCCACGTATGAGGACATTACAAATGTTCCTCCCGGTTGACGAATTGCATTAGTTGTGAATGGTGGTTCGGGGGATGTGATATTGTGTGATGGTTGAGGGGGGTGTTGACCGAAGCTGTCTGTCAACTTCACTTGCGTGTCAAAGTCCATTGCTTTTACTCTTTTTGGCTTTCGAGGCTTAGTTTTATTGTCAAGACCACGTTTTGATGCCCTTTTTTGATCTGTAAATTTTGTAGTAGCACTAACTGCTGTAGCTTCATTTGTATCACCACTGACAGTCTCTTTATTTTTTTTATGTGCTTCTATCATACCTTTAATAGACGCCCATATTTCTTGTCTTCCTTTTTCATCATCCGTAGTCAGTACTAACAGTCTCAGTTTTTCGGATATTTGCAAATAAGCTGTTTCTACCGACTGTAATGTCTTATTACTATTTGTGAATTCATGCCATAGCGATCTTAGCAGTTCAACTTGTTCATCCGTAGTCTTTCGATCTACAAATAACAAGAATAAATCTTCTTCAAGTCGTTTTATTAATCTTTGAAGACGCATTGTGTTGTATAATTCGAACATGGTGCTAGTTGTTTCTCGTAATTTGCTTTCCAGGTTGCGAACTCTTTCATTAAGACTTTCTGTTGACGGTAATCCTTTGGGTTTGCGTCCCGGTTCTGGGAATGAGCATTCTTCTCCACGTCTTGTACAATTCGTACAAGGTTTTCCCGTTTGATAGTCACCATTACAAGGCTTCTTGTCTTTTTTGCATTTGAAGCATGCATTTGGGCATATTTTACGTGGTTTCTTGTTAGATCCAACTGATTCCGAGCGTGAGTAGCTGTCCGAGTCTGTGTTGTCTGCTGTCTTTTGTTCTTGTTGTTCTTGTTGCCGCTGTCGCTGTTGCTGTTGCTGTTGCTGTCGTTGTTGTTGTTGTTGTTGTTGCTGCTGCTGCTGCTGCTGCTGCTGTTGTTGCTGTTGCTGATGTATCTGTAGTTGTTGTTGCAGTTGCAGTTGTCGTTGTTGTTCTTGTAGTAGTTGCTGTTGTTGCTGCTGTTGCTGTTGCTGTTGTTGTTGTTGTGCCTGTGTTAGTGGTTGTGCCTGTTGTTGTTGTCGTCGTCGTTGTGACATTGTGAAAAAAGTCTGTGCGGTTTAATTTTGTATTTTTTTTGGAGTAAAGTATCGAAAGGATAAATATATATTTAACGGATCACTAATAAGTAAAATAAATATTAACAAATAAATAACAAACTCAATGTTTAAAAACAGTATAAACTTGCATATTTTTATATTGTATATTTGTAACGTAATACAAAGCATCCAATATGCTAACCAAGCTAGTCCTAATCAGTTTGTTTCTCGGCTTTAGTTGATAAATGGGTTGCGTATTAAAAAGAGCGAGAGATACCAAGAAACTGCGGAACAGCGGTAATATATTTGCGCATAATCTAACTATTTTCATGATCTATAGTGAATTACACGGCGATCATTCAAAGGTTTAATTGTGGATACTTATCAGGACAAAAAAGAACATTTCGTATCAAAAGCGGTATTAAATTTATATATTGGATTTGAATGTTCATTGAAATTTGTAATTGCCTTTGGTCTTTGGGCAAGGTTATATGGGCTATGCAAGATGCGTATACTCGTAACGGTCGATAACGCCCTCTTTGGTTGGTGCACAGGTGACGTTTTAGCCCCTTTAGGTGTGGTCATATTTCCACGGTTTGTATAAGTTCACTCTGTGTGCGTTCCATGTTCTAAACTCACAAAAGAGCCCCTCTCCTCCAACTTCTCATCCCTGGTAACAACAACGCTGGATCTATTTTTAGCAGTGCGCTTATTTCCTATATTTCCTCAATGACAAGCCCTCCTTCATTCACTCGCTTATTTCAAAACGCCGGCCGAGCGTTTTTACACAGTGGTTACAATGTTAGAGAGATATGTTAGGTAATCGGTTTATGATGATTATTAATATTGTTATTGTTAACTTGCTAATATTGTCGGTATTGTTAAGCGAGTTTTACGTACGATGCATATTCTCTAGCATGATGTGTATATCAGTACTATATCGACACAATAGGGGTACTACCCATTCGCCATTCACCCACCCATTCACCCACCCATTCGCCCATCCATTCGCCCAGCCATTCGCCCAGCCATTCGCCCATCCCCTCCCCCAAGTTGATTGATAATCATTGATTAGCTTTTACTTGAATAAACAAGATATATATAATTAGATTGATTAGCAATAGGGAGATCCAAATATCAGGGGAGGAATAACGAAAGATTTGAATTATTAATGCCTATTCAACGCTATCATTTACGGATATATTGCGCAACTCTTATTTGTCATTTTAGGTATTATCCTTAAAACGATACATTATTGTCTTCAAATGTTTGTGTTTGTGACAACATTTTAGGTTTAATTGAGAAGATCGACGAGATATAAAATAGATCGAATAGGAACGAATTGATTTATGTAATCGCTACATTTAGCTATTTCTGGGATGTAAATAATCGTCACAGCATTAACATGCAAGGGAAAGAAGAAGTTTGCATTGTCACTGTTTTGGCGCATGATTAACTGCGGACAATCAGCCACTAAGATGTTTCAAACTTACAGATGACAATGACGCCGCCCAATTAACGAAATAGACTCGCAGGCAATTGACTTCCAAACTGTCCCATCTCTGTCGAATCTTTCTCTCTTTGTACCTCTCACTCGGTTATTGCGTTTCAATGTTAATATTTATTCACCGTTTTTAATCCTATGATCTACAGGGGTGTAATGTGGCACAAAATTCTTTGGCGCGGTTTGGTTTAAAAATAACAACGAATAAAGTCAGCGACAAGTCACATGTGACGCATGAGATCATACTATCTCGGATTATTCGGATTATCATCAACCTTGTTCGATAGGTAGGAGTTATTTGCATCCATTTTAGTAGAATTAATCATTTCGTTCTACCGTCCCTATCATTTACCGAACATGCTAATCAGATCTCCATTCGAAATAGAGTTTATCACGTACGCCATATTCTTTTTTATGCAAGATGTCGACACGGCAGATATCATTGTCCTTCGCAACCGATTATATATAACAATATTGCCTTTAAAAAATGCTAGAGTCTTCTTAACGGTAAAACAATGTATCGAAGGGTCTCGTTCATCGACTGTTTGTGTCGACCATCGAGAGATCCATATAACCGCCAGATCGTACGCCCGTTATGATTTGGCCTGTTTCCTCTCAATCCGCACCCGTTCTTCTTTGCACTGGGGCCCACTTTAAGAATTGCTACGTGTCACGAACAAGAGAGGGAAAAGTCATCTGCATCCTGAAACCCTCCTTCTTCTCACGCATCGAGACAAATGTAGCAGGTGCTTACGTGCATCAGGTCATGTATAACTTGCGAGAGTAAGTAAATCTGTTTCAATTTATTGTCTCTAATCATTTAAGCAATCAATTAATTTAACCGGATACAAACGTGAAGTCACGGTAATGAGTGGTCAAACAATTAAGTCCATCACACCATATCACACCAGGCCGCGAGATCAACACATGCCTCCTAATAGTTAATAGTAACGCCCCTTGTGCCTACCCAAATCCAAGACAACATTCCTGTCAAGCATAAGAATTTGTCGTACCAACTTTATCGGTGTCCTTCATCCCCTACATTTTCCCCAAATTGTTACGACATTCCACTTTGAACTTGATAGACAGGAATATGTACTATAATGGCTGTGAGCGAAGGGGGTGATGGATTGGCATATCGAATAAAGCGTTAGGCAGAAAATTGGGCAATAGGTTAGTTGCATTTACATGATTGAACAAGTCGCAGGACTAGGATGTTGGGTTGAACGGCAAGTGGACGATAAAAAAAAATTGAACTACAGTAAAGGGAAGAGGGTGGTTAGAGTAAGTTTGTTCGATCATTGTGTATGCGTGCGATGAGTTGGAGATAAATTGAAGATGGAAGAGAGAGATGCATATCTGTCCACCGAGTTTATAACTACAGCTGATAAGAGTGTGAATGGACTTTTTGTAGAGTAGAAGTAACGAATATACGATACGAGTGTGAGTTTATCAAACATGATTTGCCTTTCTGTGAGCATAGGTTAGTATGAGTGACGGCGAAGTTATAGTAATACTAACTCAACACAGTTGACCTTACACTTAAATAAGCACAGGGAAGGGGCGAGCAGACAAAACTTTTGTCGTAACTTTGTAACCAACAATCAATTGAAATGCTGGGTGATTATTGTTTCGTTGTTTTTAGTTGAGTTTCTGCTAAGATAAACCGATGCGGAAAAATTCAGACATGCATCGCTAATGCACATACTAATACTATTGCGGAATGACATTTCTTTTGTGCTTCTTGCCTGAATTCTACCTCACCTATTAATTTGGGTCACGAACCTGTCAAAGTTTACAAGCATTGAAATAAATAACATGTAATAAAACACTGACAATTATGGTAAACCTCCAGATCGTGGGTGACAATACCTTCCCCAAGCAAGCCTTTTGACAACTATTAGGTTCACAAGACTCAAGTGAATTAGCTAGGCTCAGCGGCCTATACATGATCGATGGTATGTTCTAGCCCAAGTTGATATGATTGTGACCAGTTAGTGGTAACACGTGCGTGCCCTTAATCATTGTTTTCATAATGCGTTAGCGCGTTAATCTTGATGGACTGTTGTATTGAGAAACCGTTGATGCGGCTATAATACCATCAAATTACTATAGAAGTTTTGTGAAGCTCCTCACAGATGATGATTATTAACTGGATTTTTGACTACCATGCACCAGTACACGAATTTGTAAATTCATGTCCGACCACTCCATCAATAACTTTTGAGGTTTTATATGAATCAGCATCAGTTGAACCTCCACCATTAAAGAGAGCAATGTGAGTAGCATTTTCATGAATATCTGTGGAATTCTGTGAGACATAAATCATAATATCATTGCCGTATTTCTTTTACTATTAATTTTTTTAGATCAGATTTATCAGGAGAATGTAACATTTTCATGTAGGGCTTCAATTTGTCTTGTGCAAGATGTTTATGGAATTTCGTTTAACATTGTGTTTCCTTATATTGACACTCTTTTTCTTCTTAAACTAGCCATATTAATATTTGCATGCACATTCCGACGTGTCAAACGTGTCAGTCCTACGGCGGATTCTCACCACATCCACATTATTGGTATTAATTACGTGGGTCAACGAACCCTAGAAACAGGCTCCGACTATCGAGAAAAGGCTTCTTAGAGTTAACAAGCTAAGTTTCAAGATCATTTAATCACTCTCTCACATTAACTGGCGCGAATACATCACAACAAACTTACAGATTAACACCTTGCCGACAAAATGTGGTTTAGAAAATTAATCAGACGAAGGAGAACGCCGGATTGTTTTCATTAAATTGAACATCGAACAGTTAATAGGCGAATATTAATTAGTTATATAGCAGCAGAGTTAATATTATATTATTGTTACTGATTCTCTATATTATTCCGCTACATAAATTCTGATCTGACATACAACAAACAGTACTCTATCGCGTTATGATCACGAGATGACATAGCATGCTGTTGCAGAAACGAGGTCTACTTTCTTGCACCGCATATTAATATGCCAAAGTTCGTCAGTCGGTTATTAATAGCATAGATAATTAATCCATCATCAAGAATACGAAACGTATGCTGAGCTTAAGATTATACAATTGTTCTTTCATTCTTTAACATACAGAATATCTAATAATTAGGACACTTGCCATTACTATCTGACCTGTTTACGTACATACCACAGGCTTCTTAGTGTGACCCGAAAACATTAAGGTAAAAGTTAATAACCTCCTGGAGTTGTCATATTCAACTACGGTAAAGTACCACCAAAATTGTCGAGCACTACTTACTAATTGCCTGCTTATTTAGTGATAGACATGACCCTCTATTCTGTTGTAAATACTGCATAATCCCTCGTCTTAAAAGAATCGTGATTTTACTCTGAAGAGGGTAACGTATAGGAGCGTAACAACTGTTACTATAGCAATTCAGACTCTTTAGTCAGTCGTGTATAGACCAAGTACAAGGCTGTAATTTCACATATTGTTAAGATGCGAATATATATATCGCAAACCAACTTTGATGCTCGTGAGCCCATTTTCTAATAAGGCTTATGTTCGATACATAAAGATCTTGGAGAGTTTATTAATCTCATGGCATGGCCTCACACAATCCAAAAAATCGAATCCTTATGTCGTAATGCAAGTGACTTCATCGGGAGATACCTGAACAACGTGATTCTTAATTAATTGTGCAGCGATATTTTATCGTAACCAGCTTTATAATTCGATAGTTGTAGGCCAAAGTAAATAAGATGTGACACAAAGAATATATTGATGAGAGAAGGGATAACAGAGAGTAGTCTAGAATGACATAATACAAACTGTGATTCCGAAAAGTATCCATGTACAGTATTGATAAGCGTTTTAATAAAACCGTAGACTCAAACTCTATAAGATTTGAATTCTGTTATCGCCGAGCATCATCTGTTAAAAAAGTACATCGATCAAAACCAAAACTTGTAAAGATTGATACGTCACTTGAATTAGTTCAATCTCAAGCCACAAGTTCGGAGACATATGCCTTATAAGTTAGATATTTTCGCCTTCTTTTGTATCAAAGTTTGTATGATTTCCGGTCATCCCAAGTCCTTGACGCTCAAATGTGATCATCGTAAAGACACCAAAAAGATTGTTGCATTATATCCTATTAAAGCGACCGAAACGTATAGCTTGAAATAACAATAGAGCACATGATAGTGACAAATAACTGTTAAAGTGTCGTAAAAACTTGTTTCGAAAGATTGTATACAGATTATAACGTCCTAAGCCACTTTCGCATTCAGTACAGACGGTTTCTTCATTGTCACTTTATCGTTAATATCTCTTCAAGCTTAGGCAGCAGTGAGTGGGGTAATATGGACGGGCACCGGACAATAAACAGCGGTTCTTTTAAAAAACAGAATAAACAAAGAGTAAGCAAGATAAAATATAACGTTTAGAAGCAATGTAACAAGCAAACGAGCCGATAAAGGGCCTTGTAAAGGACTAAAAGCTATACTTGGTATAAAAGTAACAAACGCGCTGATAAGTTTAAAGGAGTGTTACTAAAATTAGCAATTTTGATTTTCTGCAAATTTATGCAATTGTGCTGGAGACAACGAATACGCTTTCAAGAAGTGACACAGAAAAGGGGTGTGAGTAAACAATGTCCGTGCACGAGTAAATACGGCTTGTACTATACGAGTAAATACTGCTTGTCATGTACGAGTAAATACTGCTTGTCAGTGTTCTTATGCTTAAATACAACCCTTTTGCAAAGTTACCTGTCTTGGCATGACGGTAAACTGCCGCCTTTACAAAAAATACAAACGAGACGTTTGATATTATGAAAGTCCTAAACATTATTTTGTTACCTCAACGTGGTAAGTGGGGGGGGGGGGCGTCAAAACGGCGAAGAGCAGCATGGCTAAGGAAAGTAACATAGTGGACACATAAGTCGGGAGACAAAACAAATAAAACACGCGTATTTAATTGCGAAGCAAACCTACTATTCCCTGTCCTCAGCATGAACGGTAAACTGCCACAACGATATTATCAACTGGTAAGTTGGGTGAATTATACAAGTCTAGTTAGTAGTTTAACATACATGATGAATGTCTGTAAACCAGTTATAATCATGGTGGATAGAAAGTTCTTCATTGCTCAAGGAGTTAAGTCCCGTAGGTTGTGTTTTACATTACGTATTACACAATTGTAGATAGAAGTTCTTCGCCATCCAAAGGTTGTAACTGCGTTTTAGTAGTTGGAAATGTTGAAACGCGTTGATAGCACCGTTGGCGGGTCATCAGAGGGAGGTGGAGGGTGGCATATGCAGAACAATGAGTAAAGGCAATTTATGATATCTGCATGTGCTGGTTGATCCGCGTTCATACGTTTCTACTCAATGTCTATGTTGAAATGTGTTCCCAGGCGGAAGCATTTGTAATATATTACTTATGCTATACGCTGGTCGCATATCCATACATTAAAGACATCAGATTTTTACAGATAATAATGTCAACTTTTGATTTCAGAAACCGTAATAACTAAAAATTTTTACTATTAACATTAGACGATGGATGTAAAAGATGTAGATATCGCTCTTGTGCTTTGACGCTTTTAACAGCGGCATTCGGAGGGACATTCACAGACGACTGTCACTGATCAAAGACTTTATCAAGTGATTATAGCGAGTATTCGCAAAAAACAAATTACGTCTGTGTGGGACAATTCCCTATTCCCGCTCGATGTGCTGCCACCTCAGCGTGGTGGGCGGGTGACAACGTCTGTTAATATAGACGGCTAAGAGCAGCACAAACACAGGTTGGTGAACATTGAGTTAATATTTTGAAGTTGACTAGACGTCTTTTTATCACTCTTGTAGGTGATGACAATAACAGCGATGTCAGATGCAAAAAAAAAAAAAAAAAAGAAAAAGAAAAGGCTACACTTGTTCTATGGATTGACGTGGTAAGTGGTAGTAAGTATTATATTATCTTTATAGCGGCGAGTATTCCACGAGCGATAGCGGATACTTCATACCTGCGTACGGGAATACTATTTACGCCATGCGGCAGTTTACGTTGCCATGCGGGTGAGTTGTTCCCCATGCGGCAGTTTCCTTTTGCCAAGAACGTGGTAAGTGGGTGGGGTGGTAGTAGTGGTAGTAAGTATTATATTATCTTCATAGCGGCGAGTATTCCACGAGCGATAGCGGATACTTCATACCTGCGTACGGGAATACTTTTACGCCATGCGGCAGTTTACGTTGCCATGCGGGTGAGTTGTTCCCATGCGGCAGTTTCCTTTTGCCATGAACTACTAATTGATTTACGTTTATTAGTACCAGAAGATACTTGTTACGCGGAAGTGATAGTAAGTATTATATTATCTTTGCCGTAAACTATACTAATCGATTTACGGATTTATCACTAATTAGGAACGTAGAGTAGTTATACAGGATGCAAAAATAATCATCATTATATGAATAAATTTTCGGACAGTTAGTTGTTAATCTTGTTCTCCCGGAGTCAATTGCTTAATGTACAGTATGCCACGTCACATAATTCTGTTAGTTATAAAAAATCAGGCCCGAGTCCACTCTGTCGTACCAGCAATGCAGGAGAACCATTAACTGAGATTTAGTCGCATGCTCAAATACAATAATAAATTCGACTTAAATTGAGATGATTCTCAGTTAAACGGAGCGGAGGAATTATCAATGTAAGAAATGTAAGAAGTAATTAGCTTTACAGCTTATCGCGACTTTACATATGTCGATCGACTATCAAATTCACCTAAAATAATTACCAAATTTGGACAATGTCTTTGATATAAACGATAATTTAATAATCAGCGAAGCAAACTAAAATTTTATTCTCGAGAAAAAAAGGAAGATCATCGCCAGCTATTGTTTTGTTGTTGGTTAACTCGGCCGCGCATTTTTCTTGTAAACACGTACAGCGTCAAGACATAAATCGGTTATGCATAACAACGGTCGCATCATTGGCAAAGAAGACTAACTAACATCTTGCAGAAGGTATGAAAAAGAGTAAACATTCACTCCAAAACTGTAACCAGCCATGAACTCTTGCTGTACGAGCATGACGTACACTTGTTACAAGCATGACGCAAACTTTTCGTGACGTATTTAATTTTGCTTGTACGAGCATGACGCAACGCTTGATGATGTACACTTTTTGTGACGTATTTCATTCTGTTATAAGCATGACGCACACTTTTCGTGAATTTTACTTGTACTAACATGACGTAAAGTTTGTGATGTATAGTATGACGTATACTTTTTGTGACGTATTTCATTCTGTTATAAGCAAGAAACGTAAACTAAAATACGTCACAACGTTACCTCATGTTCGTATGAATAAACGTCTGCTTAAAAAGTGTACTTTACATTACATAGACGTTTTGCTGCTTGCAAGCACAAAACTAATTACTTGACGTTTCAATCGTATATAACTCAATTCATTCTCGTCGTATACAGCTATCAGCAAGTGAATTATTTTATACCGCTCTTCAATCTCTTCAACAATTTGGTTAATTATTATTATTTGCTAATACGTCTCTATCGATATTTTGACCCATGTTACAAGTGTCTCGTAGGACGCTTCAATTTTTCAGTATGCGTATATTCTCTTCATCTATC